TTTTAGTAAATTTTGATAAAAGTTAATGAAACGTATAGTTAAAAAATTAGGATAAAGTTACTTGTACATAATTTCTTGTACATAAAGGTGTCTATCCTCTCACATGGGGTGGATCCCACATGAATAAAATTCTTTTTTTAATCATGCGGGGTCCACCCCATGTGAGAGGGTGGACACTCTTATGTATAAGAAATTATGTACAAGTAGCATAGTCCAAAAAATTATAGTTCCCATATGTAGTCAAACTTAATTGTTGACTTTGACTTTAATCCCTACCAAACATGGACAAACAGATAAATAGTTGCATTGAGTAGGGTGAATGTGAGGTTCCTGGGCGTGAAGCAGTCTTGAAGGCTGAACTCTCTCGAGAGTTATGGTTTTATGAAGGCAATGAAAATACGAGTTTGAGGATACTAAGAATTATAAACTAAATTTAGTTGAGATACAACGATGAAAGGAATGTGAATAACATAAAAGCTAAGATTTTACCATTTACTTTATTCAACTTTTATTTGTATAATCACACGAAATATGAAAAATATCACGGTATGACTATAATAAACAACCAAGGTTGGCAAAATTTCAAAATTCTGCTCAATTGGAATATTGAATACTCACTTTCTCTACATCTCCGGTGGATTCCCTTAACCAAGACACTGCCCATGAGTCGCCAGCTCATTTTTCAACAGGCACAAGGTCTCCTCCCTTTGTTTGGTAGCTTAAGGTTTCATGTTCTATTTCACCAATATGTTCTACATACTATAATGTTTTGCAGTTGTCAACACACAAAGGTGGGTATGTTTGACAATGAATTCAAAATAGTACTGGACATGAAAAAAATATGTTCGTTATAACATGTCCAGCATGCATGCTAAACATGACAATAGTTCACCCTGGATATCCTTCTAGATCTGTTTCGAATCCCACTATATTTGGGAGCAAATTGCTTCACTTCCTTTCTGTAGTTCCATTAGGCGTTGGCGGCAGAACAATGAGCTTAGAGCATGTTCGTCGCATGCATTGAAAACAGTTACCTAATAGAAACTTTTAAGCTTAGCAGACATGCTCTGCCAAAGTGATTGGCAGCTTACCTGTGACTTCATGTATCTGGATGTTCACACAGCAGTGTGTTCAACGAGCAGCTCATGGCCTTTTTTTCCAATTAGCAACGCCTTGCGTAATGGCATGAAACAAGATCCAAAACACATCAATTCTAACAAATATTCAAAACTTGCAAAGCAATCGATTGTCTCAAAAAACTTCTTAAATTATCAAAAACCTTAAATATAAAGCAATGTCAAACTATCAAAATAGACGAACTCACGTGCCAGTGTCGCCACCGCCTGTCTAGCACCCAATTCTGGGAACCATAACCAGATGGCAAAGACAACTGACGAGGACACAGAAAACAACCAGCAACATGTGATAAACGACTCGAAACAGCATAAATAAAATAAAGTAAGTCTTTATGATGATAATGGAAAGATCTGTAGCAGTAATTAAAGCAGTAGTAGATCCCAGGCAGCACAGTTCACTTGACACCCTTCTTGGCAGCAGCCTTGGTCACCTTGGCACCAGATGGCTCCTTCTTCTCGACATTCTTAATAACACCAACAGCAACAGTCTGGCGCATATCCCTCACAGCAAATCGTCCAAGAGGGGGGTACTCAGAGAAAGTCTCAACCACCATGGGCTTGGTTGGAATCATCTTAACCATCCCAGCATCACCATTCTTCAAGAATTTGGGTTCCTTTTCAAGCTCTTTACCAGAACGCCTGTCTATCTTGGTCAGGAGCTCAGCAAATTTGACAGCAATGTGGGAGGTGTGGCAATCGAGAACTGGAGCATAACCATTACCAATCTGACCTGGGTGGTTCATGATAATGACCTGAGATGTGAAGCTCTCAGTTCCCTTGGCAGGGTCATTCTTTGAGTCAGATGCAACATAACCACGCTTAAGATCCTTAACAGCAACATTCTTCACATTGAAGCCAACATTATCACCAGGGAGGGCTTCAGAGAGGGCTTCATGATGCATTTCAACAGACTTAACTTCAGTTGTCAGCCCACTTGGACCAAAGGTAACAACCGTACCAGGTTTTAGGATACCAGTTTCAACTCTACCCACAGGGACAGTACCAATACCTCCAATCTTGTAGACATCCTGAAGTGGGAGACGTAGTGGTTTGTCCGTGGGCCTCTTGGGCTCCGAAATCTGGTCAAGGGCCTCAAGGAGGGTTGGTCCCTTGTACCAGTCAAGGTTGGTGGATCTCTCAATCATGTTGTCACCCTCAAAACCAGAGATGGGCACGAAAGGAATCTTGTCAGGATTGTACCCAACTTTCTTCAAGTAGGAAGAGACTTCCTTAACAATTTCTTCGTACCTTGCCTTGGAGTACTTGGGTGTTGTAGCATCCATCTGAGAAAAAAGAACTGTTCAGCAAACAAACAATCCAGAAAGCATTCACAACTAATTTCCAGGACAGAAAGCACCAGAGATAAACATGCTAGTCTAATCATATTAAAACAAAATATGAGGAAAGATAATTCAATGTTTAAGTACATATTGCAAATTCATAACTACAATCATTAGACATGCTCTAATCAAAACAATTGACTCGTGTGATCATAACAAGATGGAAGTTCAAAAATCTTAAAAAGAATATAAAGAATAACAAACAGCGACTGCTGTTTGAATTTCCCTTCAACCTAGACAGTTATGAACAATTTGTTATTCATACAGACAATAAAAACCATAACAATAACCTTTCAAAATTATTTAGCCCTTATTAAGGATACAAGATTGAAAGAAATGACAAAATCTCTATGAAATGCAAAGAAGTTGCTTGAATAGCTGGATGAACATGAATAATGATTTCTCATAACAAAGAATATCCAAGCATCCACCCATGTTAGGGTGGACTCTATCCAATTGAACTACAATCCCAGAAATTAAATATAGTTAAGTAAACATCGGAAAGAAAGACCCATTTTTGATTTACCAATAGTTCCTATAAAATTAATAAATCAACATAGGATTGGTAATCAAGGGGCATCACTTTCAATTTGCACCAGTTCACAAAAATGCGAGCAAAGCATACAAAAACACAAATATAAATTACTATAATAGAAGAAAAGAAGATGCAAAATAATGTACACCTTGTTACAGCAGCAGATCATTTGTTTCACACCAAGTGTAAAAGCGAGAAGAGCATGCTCACGGGTCTGTCCATCCTTAGAAATACCAGCCTCAAACCCACCAGTGGTTGAATCAATGATAAGAACAGCACAGTCAGCCTGGGAAGTACCAGTAATCATATTCTTAATGAAATCACGATGTCCAGGAGCATCAATAACAGTGCAGTAGTACTTGGTGGTCTCAAACTTCCACAGGGCAATATCAATGGTGATACCACGCTCACGTTCAGCCTTGAGCTTGTCAAGCACCCAGGCATACTTGAAAGACCTCTTGTTCATTTCAGCAGCTTCCTTCTCGAACCTCTCAATCACACGCTTGTCAATACCTCCAAGCTTGTAGATGAGATGACCAGTGGTGGTTGACTTTCCTGAGTCGACGTGGCCAATGACCACAATGTTGATATGAACCTTCTCCTTGCCCATTTTAGAACTTGATTTTTAAGCTGCAACAACAAACAACCTTAACAGTGTGAACTATAAATTGAAACATGAATTCGAATTAAAAATTAAACTGTATAAATAAATTAACAAAAAATGAAAGAGAGAAATAACTTCATTCTTAAAAAAGCAAATAAATGCAAGGAAAGCACTAAAGACAAATAAAATCTAAAAATAACCATTAAGGCAGAACAAAAAGACATTAACCATATTAAGATAAATTTCCAATAAAGACATTCTAATTATAAACAGAACAGATCTATTAGTTTCGAAATAGAGCCAATATCATAAAAATAATTTTCATACTTGGAAAAAGGAAAAACGTGCAACCGCCTTAAAACATAACACCATATCCATATTCGTAAATGAAAAAAACTAATCAAAAACTAGAAAAACACACCATATATTCCTCCTCTTCTCAGATCTCTATAAAATCAAGGCATACTTGAACAGAAAAAATAATAAACTATTGCACCACATAATAAAAGGCAAAACGTAAAATTAGATAAATCAACGTAAACTAGAATTTCGAAATGAATTCTTGAGAAATACCCGATAAAAAGAGATAAACCAGCTATAAGAACCCTAGCCTCCAAAACCAATATGCAGAGATAGAGAACAGAGCACTGAAAATTGCTAGTTTGAGCCTATTTATAAGAAAGAGCAAAGCTGAAGTTCTAGGGCTTGCGGAAATATCTCTTGAATAAATTTACAACATTGTCCTCGGGTTGAGGAGTTAAATGACTGTTCTGTCCTTCATCGACGTGGACTCCAAGCCAAAAAGTCAAATAGAGGTGTGTGTGGAATAATTTCGTAAATTTACTAGTAATAAGTAATATAATAACTAACGAAAATTGAATAGCAGGTTTTGCTTGGGTTTTACGCCGCCCTGGTGAGACGGCCGCTGGCCCACCAGTCTAGAAATTTGTGAAAGTATAAGAATGTCTTGATTGCAGAGTGAAATTTGTGCGAAAAAATTAAATTTTAAGTAAATATTAGTTAAATGTGTTTCAATTGCGTTGAACTTATTTTCATAGTTACAAATTATCAAATTAATTAATCATAATTTAACAAATTGCGAGTCACAATTACAAATTTAGTCACAATCTTATATTTTATTAAATCACATATTATTTATTGATCGCAAACTAACCATTTTATTGATCGCAATCACCTAAATAATTAATCACAAACATTTCCCACACCAAACCACCCACGATCGACACCAACTGAATGCGCACCACCTCATCGCCACCATCGCACCACCAAAGCCTGCACTACCATCATTTGCAAACCAACAAAAAGCATCCAAATCTCCGACTAAGTAGATCGGAGGAGGAAGAAACCTCCCACAAAATCCCCAAAACCATCTCTGAAAACCACAAAATTCGGCCACATCAAAGAACTTAGCTTCTTACGATGTTAGATTTCCACCCCCACTCTCCATCATCTACATCTTTTGCCCTCGTTGGTCCCTATTATTTTGTATTATAATTTTTTGAATATTATTTTTTTGGAGAATAAGTGGTTGAAAAATAATGAAAAGTTTTCAATTTACGTGTAATATTATTTTATTGGAAAATGTGTGATTGAAAAGAAGATAGAGAAAAATGCATTATAATTTTAATTGGGTCCAAATGTGGCTTAGTCAAAGTCGTCACCACTGCCATCTTCTTACTCGTCACTACATCCAGCATCTCCAGCGAACACCAATCCATTAGCTCTGTCCATAGATCATCGTCGACACTACCACTAACATCATTTACTCCGACAATTAAAAATTTCCAAACTACAGTTGCTCAACCAATAAATTTGACATCACCAAGGAAATATACTTTTGACTTCGGAATACACTATTATTACAGAAAGATTGATGTTGACATATAAATCACGCATCTTTGATCAACATTGCCCTGACGCTAGCGTCGTTGCAACTGATGTTGCACCAGTGAGCTCAGTTGCACACATCAGTGAGCGTCACTGTGACCGGTAATGCTCGGCCCATCAATTCCGTTGGATTGTGCGCGATGATGATTGTGGTATTTAGAGAGAGAAGGGACAAGATAGAGAGAGAATAGAGAAGATAGAGATAAAATTTAACAATATTATTATTAATATTGAAAAAGTGAATTATAACCTGATTTTTGAACTATCAAATTTTAAATTTGATTTTTTAATTTGAAAGTGGAATCCATGTATTTGTGTAACTATCACTTTTTTAAAAAAAAAAAAATTGAACTCTATTAGATTCTTGGTTGTATTCTTATAATTTAAGAACATATTCAAAATACTCTCTATTTTTTTAAAAAAAAATTAGATCCCATTTGTTTTATGTTTTCGTTTTCAATTCCGAGTTTTGAATTCATTTTTAATTTTTAGTTTCGATCATCTATTTTAAAATTGTAAAAAACACGTTTTATTTGTCATTTTGCAAAAAAATGTTTCTTAAAATAGAAAATGGGAAAACAACTTGATAATTTTTAGAAACTATTTTATAAATTTTATTCAGTTAATTTATTTATTAAAAAAAGAAAATAAATTTATGATAATATATTATCAAGTAAGATATACATTTTAAAATTAATGAATCTTACGAAAAATCCTCACCACAAAAATAAAATATAAACAAATGACATTTAATTGCAAAAATATATATATAAAAAATAGCAATAATGATGCAAAGGTGTTACCACCTACTTATCTAGGACGACATCAAGAAGAACTCTAGCTTTCCGCTATTAGCGTGTTTGTTTGAATTGAAAACAAATGTGAAATTATTTTAACTATACTTGCAATAAACATAAAAAAAAAATTGGTTGTGATAGTGATTGAACAAGGAAAATCATGGTCAAGGCTTTTTTCATCCTCTATTAAGCTAAAGAAAGAGTAGAGACCTCGAAAACAAAAATAAAAAGAGAGAAATATTTAAAATAGATTAAGTTAGATGTTTAGTTGTTTATAATATCTGCAATCTACTGACTAGAAATTGAAATAAAAAGGATATCAGAGGGCACGTTGGCAACTACCCTGGGCTAGGGGCTGAGGCAGGGGGGGTTTTGGGGGGACCCGGACTACCTCCCCCCTCACCAATTTTTTGACAATTTTTTTTATTTTAAAATTTTATTTTTTTATTTACTATTTTATACTCAAATGAATAGAATACTTAAACCCTACCAATCCAAAAACTAAACTTGAAGGGAACGCTTGTAATAATGTATGATTTTGCTAAATTAAAGATTAGTACTTTCTTTTATACGTTTCTTGATTTTTTTTGTTAATAATGTACATTAATTTATGTTCATTTGTTTCCTTTCTCCATCACAAAGTACCAACTTCTCTCATTTTAACAGATAATGTTTCAAAAAAAAAATTCAAGGGCGCTGCCCCCGAACCCCCGTGGGCCCTCCCACCCCTTCAACTCTAGGGCTCCCCTACTTCAACGGGCTAGCTCCGCCCCTGAATAGTACTTATAATTAATTAGCAACTTGGTAGCACGAAAGTCAAAAATTAGGATGAAGAAATAATACTAACTACTACCTTATCCTTAGTGAGTAAAGTTTAACCAAACCCCTCGTAATTCTAAATTCCATAACTTCTTTTTTTAATGAATTGAATCAATTGATTGTCTTAGGTTTGGTTTGAACCAGGGACGAAACATGCTCAGTATGCAACATTTAATCATTTATAAATTATAATTTATTTTTTTAATATTGTTCAGTAAGTATTTCATCCTACCCAATAAAGAATCATATGCTAAATAGAAGAGGGGAATCCCCAGTCATTATACAATTACTCAATTGTTTGCTTGCTAGAAGAATTTGAAAAGAATTATCATACCGTAAATACTGTCCCGTATACTATTTAACTAGCAAGCAAAGATAATGAATATCAGAATACTCCGTTTTGCTTTCGTCAACCTATATAATGGATTTATTGCTTGTTTGGTGCAGATTGTAACCAAATTCTAATCAAAATTCTTACCGTTAGTGGGACCCGTGTGTGAGATGGATGGTCAAATAGTGCGGCTGAAGTGATTGNCAATTATTTTCTCTGAAATTCATTTTCTTTCCAATCATTTTCCAGCATTGCAATCAAACGGACCCTAAGAGGAAAAGAAAAATATTAACGTGTTTAGTTTTAAATTTTAACATTCCTATGCATAAAATGAAATTAACTACTATTGCTGAAACCCATAAGAAATTATTCATGTGGTCGTCATTGATGCATCTACACTAGTTAACTTGTGCAGTTTAAGTACATGCATTTCATTCTCGATGAACTAAAATATGCATGTATCCTCGATATTCATAGTTTTTGCTCTTGTATATTGTGAAATAATGCTTCACATCATTGATTCTTGTACTGGTCCCACACATTCTTCAAGGCATCATAGATATGAACATTTTGCAGAAAATTCGATAGATATCTTCTCACAAACTTGTCACGAATTTACTACAAAATGATAGTAACGACAGAACAATAGAAATATATATTCCCTCACAAGGAATAAATACTCAAGCATACAAGATTTCAGAGTCTATTTATTATATTATATATAGGTACAGTAACAGATTTGCAATTGCTGATAAATTTAATCGCAATAGAGAAGATCAATGCAACATATGAAAAATAAAAACCTAAGTTATGCTTCCAACTCCACTCGAAACGAAGGATGGCCAAAAGAAGAAGATCGGTGTCGTCATCACTAAGGTCCTCATATGTTCTTTTGACAAAACGATCTATCAAAAATCGTAACCTCAAATCAAGTTGAAAGTAGAATAGGTCTGACAATAAAACAATCATTTCAAGACTATGATGGTAAAAAAAAATGTTCCCATCAT